TTTTTTTTTAAATGACCCTGCAAAAGTGAAATGAGTGCACAAACATTATGGAATGTCTTTGCAATGTTTGCATGATTAAGATGTGCAGTTGCTTTGTCTTTGGAGAAAGACCGCTCTCATGTCTTTCTCATTTCTATTACAGCCTTGATATTTATGGGTTCCCAACTTCCCATCCCTACCAATTGACCCCTTCTACAAACGTCAGATGTACAGGAAGAGGGAGAGATGGAGAGATGGAGAGATGGAGAGAGGGAGAGAGGGAGAGAGGGAGAGAGAGAGGGAGAGAGGGAGAGAGGCAGAGAGGGAGAGAGAGAGGGAGAGAGGGAGAGAGAGAGAGAGGGAGGAACTGAAGGAACGCATTTAGGGAAAATGTCAGGCTTTGAACACAGATCAGAGCGGTTTTTATCAGAAAACCATGCGGTCTATGACACCACCTACTGACTGGAGTTTGGTTTGTTGCACTCTTGTTAGGCCAAATTTGAAGCTGAAGAGTTGAATGCGATGGCGATTTTTCCGAACGAGGTTCAAGGGAAGTATGTGTTCGCCGTCGATGATCCAGTCCTTACAACAGCAGCTGCAGCGGCAGTGACCACAGGGCCTGAGGTTCTGACGGTTGCTTTCACAACATCAGACCCTGCTGCTCACCGTTTATATATAAACTATGGAGGGCAGCACTGGAGAGAAGCTGAGTATGTTTCGCTGACCACTGACCACCATTTTGAAGTTTAAAATCACGGCAAATGAGAACACTAAATAGTAAATACTAAATAGTAAATACTAAATAGTAAATAGTAAATAGTAAATTCTGAGTACTGAACCGACATACGCCCTAGTTTTCAACCATCGAAAGGTGCTGTGGGCCTTTGGCATGATGTGTTTTCGCACAACTCAACAGTCAAAAGACTCAAGAGTCAAGAGTCAAAACATATTACAATTTTTTTACAATGGTGTAGTATAGAAAGTGCAGAGTCTGCAGACTCATTGTGAACTCGTGAAATGTTTATTTTTGTTTTGTTTTGTCGTTCAGCATACAATTTTCCCAGAACTCCCTATCTTTTTTTTTTTTTTTTTTTTTTGCCTTTTGGCTCCAATCCATTCGTGGGCAGCAGCATGTGCTGAGAACCGGGCCCACGGGCCCAAAGCGACCCTCATAAACTTGTACAGAACAGTTGAGGTACTGGGGCCATCATTACCCGGCTTTAGCTGGGAACTGCGGAACAATTTTGTGAAATTCTTTTTTCCTTTTTAAAAAATTTGGACCATTTCCCGATTTATGTGTGTCATCCTTGCACAGGGGGCCATGCTAATCTTCTCTTCTCTGTATCATTCCAATTTTAACGGATGTCCCAAAGGTCGTTTTGCGAAAAAAAATTGAACCAGTAAAGAATGCGAAAGAAGTCGGAAACACCACACTATAAAGGGGCCTAATCTAAAGAAGTAACAAACACCGCACTACAAAGGGACCAATAAAGAATGCTAAATATGTAACAAACAGCAGTCTATAAAGGCGCCTAAGCTAAAGAAGTAACAAACACCGTATTATACTCGTAAACAAGCCAAAGGCCAAACCTCTGATCTGCCATCAAAAAGCGGTATCACTTAAACCACCAGTAACTACCGCGATTTTAGGTGTTAACGTGGTGGATGAATCAGTGTGCCGCGCGGCAGAGGGGGCCTAAGACCCCCTGAGGTACTGGTGGTTTAAAACACCTCTACTCCTGCAAAATGGGGCCCCAACCACTCCGAACAGAAAGACAAACAAGACTCCGGCTGTTGGACGATCAATCCAATTGACCAGCCGAAAAAAAGGCATGCCTTCTTCTAACCAGGGTGCTTTCCCCTTCTTCCCCCTTCTTCCCCCACCTCCCCCACCTCCGAGCCACTATGTCAAACGGCATCCAAACCTCCTGTTGTTCTCCAAGCCAGTTATTAGAAAGTGGCAATATGAGGTTGAAGGCATCCCGCCCTGTACTCCAGTGAGATTCAACATTAACAATTCGATTTTATTTCTTTGCCCATTGGTGTAATACTTTATGAAAGCAATGAAAGCAAAGCCACCTGGAAAAGTACTCGGACCATTCACAGACTTTGATTTTTGGTGTGCCGTGCTTACGGTTTCTTGGGGCTCTTTAAGCTCCTAGAGAAAATATCAGGCTTTCTTGTCCGGGGCAGGAAGTGGGGAAGGGGGGGAAGAGGGGGAAGGGGGAGGGGTGGGGTTTTGCAAGAAATTGGGAGAGTCTAAAGAGGGTATTCCACCACTCCCTGACCCATTTAAACTCCAGATTCCAGTGGAGGGGGGGGAGGGGGGGAGGGGGGGGGGGCGCCACCGGCCCATCAACCCCCTCAAGTTTTCCCTTACAACTGTCAGGTTTTGCCATGGCTCCTGTATGGCCCGTCGGAGGGGGGCGACACATACAGTAGAATAAAACTACGCTGTAAGGAAGGATAACCAGATCAAATTTGAAAAAGTGGATTGCAATGCAGACTTTGCTCGTGTGAGAACAGTTTTTGCAACATGAAACAGTGCAATTAACAAAAATATTGCACATCCTTTGTGCCAAGAAGATGAAAAGAGGAAGAAAAAGGAAAACCGAGGAAAGTTCAGGAAACACTTCCAGCAAGAGAAAACAGAGGTTAAATCATTAGACGTTGATTGCTGACACAATAACAAAATAACTCTCTCCTACAGTTGTGAGATTGTATCGCTCTTTTCAGGCGACTACCAGGTCATTTTTGTCAGTATAGATGCTTTCTAGTCCATTGCAAGAGAACGGTAGAGAGGAATGTCAAGTGAAGGGGGAGGGAGGGGCGAAGGGAGGGGGAGAGAGAGAGAGAGAGAGAGAGAGAGAGAGAGAGAGAGAGAGAGAGAGAGAGAGAGAGGGAGTACGGTGTACTGACTCTTGACATTTGCATTATGTTGTCTGTATTGTTGTGTACCATCTCTGAACTATGTGCAACTCTATCCTTACATCTGACTCTTGCAGCAAGGAAGGCATGTTTCCCATTATTCCTCTCAGTCAGGACTCTACAGACGTGTTCATACAGTCTGTGGCAACCGATCAAGGGCATAACTGCACGTATGGTATGCGCATCAACCGGAACTTGCAGAGGGTATGGTGACCTGTTTCCGTGACATCACTTGATTATCAGCCCTCGTCATCGTTTCTATAACAGCAACTAGAAGTGGAAGTAGGAAGGCTTGTGAGGACTCTAGTGATCATGTGGAAACACTGGAAAGAGTGAAACCACCACTACCTCTGAGGTAAAGCTTGGCGCACAGTTCTTTTTGACGAGGCGGAAAAGAACTGTGCGCCAAGCTTTGCTGAAGTGCCGGTGCGGCGTTTTCTTTTTCCCTAGCTGACACTGCTAGCCGTTGTGGTCAGGTAGCACTGTTCATCTGAAGAACCCTGAATGTTGCATTTTTTATTCTCGCTGTTGACTGGGAAAGGTACTGGTGGTTTAAACCACCAGTACTTGGCCCAGCTATCGGCCATGGAAAAAAAATAGAGTAGAAACTTTTCTAGTCGGATGAATTTGGGCACTAGTGGCCTGTACGTTTCCTAAAATCATGGATTCTTAACGGGCACGACTTTAGGAAGTACTGGTTGTTTAAGGCCTTGATCCAGACTGTTAGGGTATCAGGCTATCAGCAAATCTTTGAATAGGAAGTAGTGGCCTCCATAGTAAGAGGAAGTTCGGGGTTGCTAATGTATATGCTATTATGCTTACTTAAATGACCTCAGCATTTTCTTTTTTCTTTGTTTTCTTAACTACACTATATTCTTCTCTCGATTCTTTTGCGTCGCACTAGCTAGCTACATACTGCACTCTATCTACCCATATATATGAGACTGGATATCCAAGGGTACACCACCTCTATTCTATGCTGGAAAGGGTACTTCCTCTCTACTCCACTCTATGCACGGAGTAGCACCTGTTGTGATCCTGGCTATCTTGCAGTGCAACAACTCAAAGAAAGACAATGCCATTCAATGGCAACAGAAATGAAAGAACTTGGAAAGAGAAATACACAAAGGAAGAAAAAGAAATGAGAATGGAAGGAGAAGAAGAATATGATCACCAGGAAAGACCAATGTCAATCTCCCTCCATTTCGCCGCCATCTCCAACCTCCTTTTATTCCCCCAACTTCTTCTTTACAATAATAATAGTAATAACAATGAATGAATGAACCAGAACCAATGTCTGAATCCTCTCCTTACTGCTAGCCACTCAAGAGGTCCACCATATCCATCTCATACACCTTCTTCCTCCTTGGACAAGTAGGTGGCTATGGCGGCGTAATGGAGCAAAGCTCCAATGCTCATCCCTCCTATGGCCGCCATGCCTATCTCTACCCCGAAGTCTTCCTTGTAGAAGCCAAACCCAACTGGGGCCTTCCAGGTGCAGCATGAACCAAGAAGATGAAGATGCAGACCACCATAGCCAGGTAAGCACCGCCGTTACTCTCCTCCTTGCTCACCGTCTTCCTACTACTACTACTGCCCTGGTGTCTCCTCCTTGGTCCTGTCCACCATAGCCAGGTGGAAGGTCAAGCCCGCTTTCTTCCTCCCCAGTGCTACTACACAGCGCTCGCCCAACCTCGAGCTCTTTGCTCTTCCCAAAGATATATCGGCCTACGGCCTCTTCGAGCAGTGACTCTCCAAGCCGGGCGGCCTCCCAAGCTACCGGTACCTTCCCCGTTTTGGAGGGAAACATCATTGCAGTCTGATATCCCTCACTGCAGGACCTAGACTCAGACTACTGGATCGGTACCTCTAGACTCTAAGCCAATGGGACTCTAAAAATTCATTTGGCCTCTTAAGTTACTAACATTTTGTCTTCTTCTGCCTACCTACCCGCTACTTGAGTGTTTTCCATCCTACATGGGCCTAGCCTTTTTCTGAGCTCCCAATGCGTCCCCACAAAAGCACGGTCACAGGTAAGCACCAGGCCCGAGGGCCTTTCCAGCATAGAAGTACCCTCGTGGGTCACACACACACCCAAGCAATCATGCAATCAGACAAACACACGGAAACTCAGCGATCATGCACGCACACGTACTTAGAAATCACAGACGAATGCGGGAATCTCAGCAAGTCACACAGGCCAGTGGCAAAACTCAGAAAACAGCAGAGTTCTCTGTCTGTGATTTTGCAGGTCATTACACACCTAAGCTTCTGACCTCGGGCGAGGGATGGCAGGGGCAGGAGCCAAGGGTAGAACCCAGGCTCCTGCCAAGACCGGCCAAGGGGTACAAGCCAACTATCTCAGCTGGTAAGCACCAATCCAGGTGCAGGCGGCCATGGGCGATTGAACCCACAACCTCCTAAATAGCACTTGCATGCTCAACCAACTGAACTAGGCCGCTGGCCCAACCAGCCATTACCTCCATGCACAGTTGCAGAGAATCCCAATTGACGTTGTCATACCATTGCGTGGAGGTTCTGGTGATATTTGCCCTCTTGGGGAATGAGACCTTTTGGTGGTGGTTTCTCAGGTTGGAAGAAAAAGAAGACGAAATGAGGATGGAAGAAGAAGACGAAGAATATGATCACAAACATACCGCGCTCCTTCTACCCATATCACGAGACTGGATATCCAAGGGTACATGCAATAAGGGCGAAATCAGACCTTTTGAAGGTGGTTTTTCGGGTGTTGGGCGGAGTTTCTCTTCCACTATCGTGCAATCTCTCGTTTTCCTCTGCTTTGATCCCATGCTGACCCTAGAGGGAAATCCCAGATGCCTCTCTAGTCATGACAACTGTTACCTAATTGAGGTAAGGATGCCCTTATTGCGCTTGCTACGACATAATGGATGACATATAATTCTCTTTGTGTCTCCTATCTCCGTTACTGCTTCCCAGGAGATTAGTGTCTTATGTCACCCCCATTCTATCCTGGTTTTCGAATTTTAGAAACCTATCATACAGTCGGATTTACAGTGTTGGAGCTTCTCCTTGCCCAACTGAGCCTACATTACTCCTGACGTCATGGTTTCTAAAGATAAGAAAAAGACAAGACGTTTTCTTCGTGGTCAGAAATCCTGTGAAGGGAACCTAAACCTGCCTCGACGACGTGATTGCATCCTGTCGGGATTCGCTGTTGCTTTCCCTTTTGACAAAATGCTTAGACGCTATAGCGTTCGTCATGATCCGTTCCCTCCTCATGCCTCCCGTACCCCTTTGGAGCAACAACTCATTTGTCATTTGTTTCTTTCGTCTTGTGATCTCTTTGACTTTTAGGTTGAATAATAGAACTTGGGAACTTACCAAGCGTACCTCAGCAAAGGAATTCCCCCAGGTTTATGACTGCCCGTCTTTCTTTTCTTGAACGATCCTCCTCTCCCCTTCAAACCTCCCTGATCTCCCCTGTCACACTTACAGATGATAGGTGCATCCATGAAGAGAAGGCCCCTGTAGAGTCTGCCAAGTACCCTAGCAGCGAAATGCGACGCGGATGGTGGAGCATTGACGTTTGTTGTAGAGTTGTGCACTGGTTGCTGGAGTTGTAAGCATGGAAGAGTCCGATTCCATGTTGGTCTTCTTCTTGCGCTTCCCCAGTGTGCATCTTATCTCATTCTTTCCTCTCCCCTTTCCTTTTTCACTCTCCTTTCTCCTGTTCGTGTTCCTACCTGTTCTCCCCTTTGATGTGCCCATAGGTGCAGCTTCTTGCCTTCCCGACCCTCTCTTCCCTCCCGCACCACGGGCGCTTCCTTGTGCTGCGGCATCTCTGTGCCTGGACCAGATAGCGTCCGGCACTGCGCTCAGGGCAGGCGCGAACTCGAGAGCAACTCAGGCACTGTGGTTACCATGCCCGAGCGCTATGGTGGCAGCGCACAAGCCTGACGTCAGCATGACGGCGGCAATGTGCTTACCAGTGGCACACGGCGCAAAAATCCGCACTGGTCAGTCCTGGAAATTTGGAGGATGTTGTAACTTATAATTTCAGGGCTGAGGGCACGTCTTATCTTCTGGAGATGTACCTGTTTCCGCAAAGGCTTCTGGATCTAAGTGTATGTAGTTGGGTGGCAACACCACCCGGAACAGTTGGATCATCAGTGACGCTTGCAACGGGTTCTGGGAGATAAGTTCAGAGCAGGCAAGGGCTCGGTCTCCTTCAAGACCTTGCGCTAATGTGCAACCCTTTTGAGGAGTTTGTGTGCGCAGCGAGCAAAATGATGTGTTGAGGTGTGGACATCACTTGGTGGGTTTCATGTTCACATGGTAGTCCAGAGGAGGTGGTGTTGACTGTTGTAGTACTCGCACCTCTTGAAACGATGGTGGGAGGCGGCATATAATATGGGTATGACCAGTTCGTGATGTTTGAGTAACTGCCGGCAACGCTGAATGCTCATTTCGCATCGTTTACATGTGACTACGAGTGTGAAGGATGCAGCTGTTGTCCTAAAGTCAGACTGGTCTGGGGCATGTACTTGGTGCGAAAGGAGAAAAGAGCATTGCTGTTTCAATAGTCTTCTTGCAGGCATGACAAAGAGAACCGCCGCAAGTGAACTTGTTCCTTGCATTTAAGGAAAAGAAGGGTCCATAGGACTCCATGCTCAACCGTATTCCAAACTACATAGATCAGAAATTTCATGCTTGCAAACGTTGGGCCCAGTCCCCGGCACGTGCTGCTCCCCACGAATAGATTGGACTCATTGGAGCAATTGTAAAAAAAAAAAAAGAAAAAAAAAAGAAAAAAGAAAAAAAATCATGCTTGCAATTTCTTCAAAGGACACCTTTGCAATATGGCCACAAAGGGTCGGACAAAAAAGAGGTATTGCACATAGAAGCGAACACCCTTCTCACCACCTTACTCCAGCCTCGTGAACTTTTTCCAATTTCAGAATGTCTGCACACAAGACTATTGGAGTGCACTACCTCTCGTGTGAGGGGACCACATCTAACAACGACTTTCTGGACACTAAGAAACTACTCCCAGAGTACTTTACAGTACTTTACCATAGCTAACAACATCGTCACCCTTTTTTTTTTGAGAGAGAGAGAGAACATCGCCGTCACCCTTCTTTACTGCCTCTCCTCGTGTGCCACTGAATCGTGGAGCAATCCAGAAGTGTCCCCGAGCTACCAAACACTGAGGGCCTCCCTAGCCTTTAGACTCCAAACAACTACGCATTTGTGGAGCTCTGCACCATACCATTGCTTGGGGGCAACTCTTCTAAACCTAGGGCAACCCATATCCAGTGTGTTAACCATTTGTTAATTGTATGATGCAATGTTGAAGCTTTGGTGTACATGCATGGGCATGCGAGTGACACTTTATGAATGGAAATTGAAGGCATACGGTGCTGTTGGAAACGGTGTTTGCAGCGAATCTTGCCTGTGGGTTATCCAAACTGCATCCAATGGAGAACGTCTATATTTATTTCAGTCTGTGAACTCTGCTGCATGTGAATTGATCAACAGGCACAGGTGGAGATTGACATACTCGTGAAAGAGCGTGAGCGAAAGGCGTAAGTAAATTTTGATTCCTCCCCAGCTGCCCCTCTGCTTGTAAATGCACTATGGTGTCCTTTTTTTTTTTTTTTTTTTTTTTTTTTAAAATTTTTTTTTTTTTTTTTTTTTTTTTAACAGGTCCTTATGGTCCTGGCTCCTTGTCCATTCTGGTCTATGGTGTCCTTTTTTTTCTTTTTTTTTTCCCCTACGCGCTATGGTGTCCTATGGTCTAATGTTTCTCTGTTTTTCTACAGAATGTTATCTGGAGCTCAGCAGCCCTCTACTTCTACCTGGTTGTCTAATTAATAATTGTATAATATATACTATATAGAAGTTGGGACGTTTATCATCCATTCTACATCTCTCTGCAAAGGGATGAACCCCTTCTCTGTGTGCCTCTCCTGTCCTCTGATTCTCTTGGGTTTGTCTGAGTTATTTTCCGGTGCAGTCTTACTCCAAACTTTTTCCGTCCCTTCCACTTCCTGGTTGTTCTTGAAAAATATTTCCCTGTGAGGGGGGGGCTCATTCCCCATCCAGATGTTCCTCTTCTTCTTCCAACAATGTCACTGTTTGCATGACATGCCCTGACCGGCACCAGTTGTTAAACGTGATAGAGGTGCCCATGACTCGTGCGATAGCCCCACTGTGAAGCTATCCCTCCTCGAATTTTTTGCACAGCCCCTCTTGCTTCAGAGTATCATATGCTCTGTCTATGCTCAGTAGTGATTTACGACATTCTGGCCTTACTTCTGCCTCAGTCATTGCCTTGGCTTTCGATTCCCTTTCCCTTCTACCTCACTCTGGTCAGGTTATGCCATGGAAGTAATCCTACAGATCAAAATAATCCTCCTATCTTGATCATCATCCTACCTCGGATCTTTCCTTCCCATTCCCATTCCCATCCTCATGCTTAGTTCTCTGTTCTCCTCCCGTAACTGCATAATTGTCCAGTCCTCATGTCCATGTGGTGTTGGCCAAGTTCCACTTCGTTCCCACTTCCACAGTCCCATATGTTCCTGTGTACGGACTAACGTTGATCTGTAGACATTCTATTGTTTGCTGGCCATGTCTGCACTTGATGCTGCATCTGTCCATAATCATTTAAGCATGTTTGCGACTGCGTAGCTTCTTCTTCTTCTTCTTCTTCTTCTTCTTCTTCTTCTTCTTCTTCTTCTTCTTTCTTCTTCTTCTTCTTCTTCTTCTTCTTCTTCTTCTTCTTGGAGAAACAGGCCCTTATGGTCCCGGCTTTCCCCAACAAGTCATAAATTACATCATTTACACCCTCACTCTTCCTTCCGTTTGGCCGGAGGATACTGCGAAGTATCCTTTTTTAGGAAAAAACAAACAAACAAACAAACAAACAAACAAACAAACAAACAAACAAACAGGATCTTATAGTCCTGCCTCCATACCGATTCCGGGGAGCATCAGTCCGGTGCCGTAGTATCTTTTTTTTTTTTCAAAATTTGGACCATTTCTCGATTTATGCGTGTCATCCTTTCGCAGGGGCCATGCTAATCTTCTCTGTATCGTTCCAATTTTAACGGATGTCCCGAAGGACTGCCGTAGTATCTTCTTATATCCCCTTGTTTCAAATTCTGTGTCTCTCCACTTCCATATGTGTGTTCATTTCTACCACATTGATTGTTCTTTTCACACTCCCTGTTTCTGGCTGCAGTGGTCCGGGTAGTCCACTGAAGTTCTTCTGAAACTTCTTCTGATTTTAATGCAGCCTTTTTTGTGTCACAGAACTTCCACCAGAAGTTTTATCTATCCGTGTGCAATTCCAGTGTAGCCTGTTTCTTCGTATAGGCCCTTATGGTGTGTCCCAAGATTTTGCCCAGGTCCCCATCTGATCATCCGCCCTTGGTTGCGCTTGCGACTCCTGCGATTCTTGTGACCCTTGTCCTTCTTGTGTTGTGTTGTCTTGTTCCTCTTCAGTCCTCCCTTTGTGCTTCTTGTTGCTGTGTTTCGTCTTCCCTTCTTCACTCACGCGATATTGCTGGATCAGGCTTTCGCCCATTGTCCAAGATTCCCCACTGCTGCCTCCAGTAGGAGTCTGGGCCGATATGTCAGCCAGTCGAATTTCTTCCGGTATTCTCCCTCCTGAATGAGCACTTCATCTTTTTCTGTCTTGGCCTTGCAAGCGTATTGTGCTGCATAGAATTCATTTATCTCCCGCTCCCGCTTCAGCAATTCGTACCTGTTTTCGGAGGTGATGCAGTCCGCTGCTTGTGTGGCTTTCTGCAGATTACGTAGATGCTTGTGGTGTGCCAGCCTGACCTCACATTCTATATGTCTCCCCCACGCTAGTGCTTCCACTATTTGTGTCCACCATTCCAATGTCTCTTCCTCCTCTTCTTCCCAGTCTTCTTCCTCTGATGATGTGTCTGTGTCGTCCTCCTTGCCATCCCTAACTTCGTCCCCTTGGTCTTCCTCCGCTTGTTTGATCTCTTCTTCTGTCAGGTTCTCCCGACCCCTCATGGGGCGCTGTCTGACCTCTCAGGCTGAGGATTGGCTGCCAGCCGGGGTCTATTCCTGTGATATCTCCATGGATTCCCCTTCTGGGCTGCTCCCTTCCCCTCTTGACTGTTGTTGAGACCGTTTTGGCATCTAACTCCTATCTGTCCCGTGGCTGGTAGACTCTTCTTGGGTTCTCTTGCCCGGCTGTTCCACCTGAGTGTCCTCCTCCGTTCCCGATTCGATCTCCTTCCTCTTCAGTGAAGAACTCGTGGTGAGGTCCCGTTCCCCGCTTTCGCATTCCATATTGTCTCCTTGGTCTTCTGCCCTTTGTTGTGTTTAGCTTTCTCCACAGTTCTCCCTTGCTTTCTGTTTAGCCTTACGGTCCTCAATGAACACCTGCTCCGCCGTCTTCCCCATTTGGTGCAGTTCCTCCATTGTGGCGAATCTCTGTTTATTGTCCAAGACCATCGATTCTTCAATCATTGGTTTAATCAAGAAGTCGGTGTCCTTGTCCTCTATTCGCTTGGATCCTGTCTGTCTCCACCTGCTATCGTAAGGTGGGTAGACGTCAGGCTTTAGGCTCGGTGTGCCCTTGAGGACCCAAACCCACTTGGGGTTTTCTAGATTGTCATCAAAGATCCACCCCCTGTATTGGGCTGAGTTAATGTACCATACCCCTGGCGTGTTGTCACATTCTGCCAACATCGATTGCCTGAGCGGTACCTGCCTGTTGGTTGCCCCTACCTGTGGGCAGTTTGCCCCCAAATGACCTCTTCCCCTACATTTAAAGCAGAAGGGGTTGGTTTTCGTTGATACAAAGATGGTGAGACGTTCGCCGCTCTTCCGAAAGATCCATTGCTCGGGGAATTTCGGTGGTGCCCCTGAGGTAACCTCCAGACATGCTACTCTTGAATCGTGGTTAGGGGCCAAGAAGTCCGGATTTGCTGGAAGCCAATCAATGATGGGATTATTTGGATATTCATCTGCGAGCCTCTTCTGGACGAAGCTGTGCATGCCTTCGGTTAGATTATCGAATTGTACCCAAAAATGGCTCCTCATCATCGCTTGACGGTGTCTGGATGCTTCCCCCTGCGGTGGTCTAGGTGGTTTCCAGGCTTGTATCATCACCACTGCTCCCCGACACTTCAGCGAACCCAAGGTGATGAGGTATTGCACATATGTAGGGTCCACACACACAATCATAACCGTGAATCTTCCTCTCTTGCGGTAGGAAACTTCCGGTTCATGCCCCGGCACGCTCTCTAGAGCTCTCAACCGATCCATCACCCAGCGCCTCTTTTTGTTCAACGACAGGTCGCAATTCTTACCCGCGAAGTTGAAAAGTACTGCATGCTTCTCGTACAAGTCACTGAGCGACGATATGTTTTGTTCAGGGTATTCCCACACTTCCACCTCCTCCTCCTTTCCTCCCTCCCCCTTGATTACCTCCTTTGTGACTTTAATTGGGGCGGTGATTTTTGCCTTTTCCAACAAAAATTCCATAGCCCTCTGCCCGAGCGCCCGTGGTTTGGATGTGCCCCTTCCTCCCGATGAGGTTGCCTGTGATGTCGCCTGTATCGATTGCACGCTCGTTAGCACTTGTTTTCCTTGGCCAAATTGCCTTTTCTCCCCTTCATTCATTGCCTTCTGCGCCACCTGTGAGTATGATGCTGGTGCATTCGCTGCCGGAGATGCTGTAGGTGATGTTGCCATTGCTTCCCCCCTTTTTTTCCTTCCTTTTGTTTTGGTCTTGTTGGTTTCCTACTCTCCCTTGAAACTGCCGTCAATTCTGTACCTCCCTCGCTAAGTTATCTTTCCTGATGTTCGCTCTGGATCTTGCCCCCTAGTCAATCTCCTTCTCCACTTCTCCTTCTTCGCTTCCCAGAGTTGCGAACCTCCTATCATGTGTACTCAGTCTCCTTATATCCTTGACCGCCTCGAGTGTTGCCTGCTGTTTTGCTACTGCTCCTCCCTTTGGCCTTTCTTCTGAGCCTCTTCGCCTGCTTGACCCTGTGCGGACTCTCCTGATTACCCCTCCTCTGGGTACTCCCGCTGTGCTTGATCACGGTACTTAATGATGGTGCGCTGTCTTTCTTTCTTACCCCCCTCCCCCCCCCTTTTTTTTTTTTTTTTGGTTAAATTTTGACCGTGATGCTTTGCTTCTCCTCCTCGCTTTTACTCCTCCTTCCTCTTCGCTTGCTAAAGCCTCTCCCCTGGTGAGCACGCTGAGCCCTGAGTTCGTGCCAGTCGCTCAAATTTCCTCTCCACGTTCCCAAACTTCTATCGCTCGTGGTTTTAATCTTTGTTTTTGTTGACCTCCTCTTCGCCTCTTGGCCCTCTTCTCGTCGAAATGGCTCCCTTGACCGGGGCGTCTTCAGGGAATAACCCATGACGGCCTGATGTGATGCGCCCTTCATGGGTGGTCCCTGGCTATGGCGGGACGAGGTGGTCGATCGTGATGCTTCGGCGATGTCCTGTACGCTTAACAGGGCTTAGCCCGTTATGGTGCGGTGGCGCGTGCCATCCTTAGGGCGTGATCCAATCGTGGAGTTTCGGCGATGGCCCGTCGCCGACGTGATCCGATCGCGGAATTTCGGCGATGGCCCGTCGTTGACGTTACCTCGCGACTTCGCGACTTTGCAGCGTGCGCGCTACCCCGGCAGCGCAAGCGGTCTTCGACCACACCATTGCTTTCAATATGTGGTTGTGGTCCATGTTTGTGAAAATGTCTTCCATCTCGTGGGTACTTACTAGTTACCATTACTGCCACCTCGTCTTCAGTACCCAGTCGTGCTGCTTCTTCATTGATTTCGCTTATCCCCTCCTGACTAGTTGATTTGTTGCATAAACCACCAGTACTTGGCCCATACATGAGCCGCGGGTCCTTGCCGTCAACGCGCCACGACTTTCAGGGCTCGGCCTTTGAAGCAAAATGGCTGGCGGCAGCAGCCAAAAGGAGGCCGCGCCCCTTCGTCTTTTTTTGCCTCACAGGGCGTTTCCAGGGTCGGAGGAAAGTGCCTCGGAAGGACTGGTGGTTTAATGAAAAAAAAAAAAACAACTGCTTTCTGGTAATTAAGAAGTCACCGCATGTAGCTAGGATCTTGGATGCCCTGGTGTTGTCTTCAATCGATCCTTGTATTTGGGTAAGGTGTATGCTTACCGCTGTGCTTCCATGGAGCCAGGGGCATCATTCCGTTCTGTTTATATGTGAGAAAAAGATTGATCTAGTACACCATGCATACTTCCCTCAATTCTTCGTAATGTGTTGGTTTTAAGCCACCGCTACCTCTGAGCCTCTTTTTGCCGAGTCGGATTCCCCCTGCCTGTCAAGCTTCGCCGAAGTGCCAGGAGGGCGTTTTGTTTTCTTTTGGCTGACACCGCCAGCCATCGGGGTCTGGTAGGCCCGAGCCTCCAAAGAACCCGGAATGTGACATGTTCAATTTTTTAAGTTGCCTGGGAAAGGTAATGGTGGTTTAATAACAATCCGCTCGTTGTCTCCCAGTATACCTCTGTGCATTCCACAAAGGTTTTCCCAGGATTCCGGCGGATTGATGCACCAGTGTACTCGATTTCAAGTCTTCCTTCATCTTCACACCCATTGGCCTTTGCTCAGTGCTCTTTGAACAAGTTTTGACACCCGTCCGTCAATCTGTAGTTACCGAGCCGTCATTATCTTTGTTAACGTCTTCCCCCGAACACAAACCACCCTTATGATGAATGTATACAAGCCATCGTTCCGGTCCAGTGCAGCCAAAATGAGGGTGTGACGGTGCATTGTGGTCGGGGGAAGACAGTAGTAACCTCTGGAGAACTAGGCGAATGGCACTTGATACTGCTCTCTCTGTGTCTTCTTGAAATGTGAAGTGGACATTCTTGGAATTGTGGAGGGTAGTATTTGTTGTGGTGTCACTCAGCTCTCAGAATACATGAATTGATGTTTTGGGCAGTATCGACTCTATCGAGGGTCAATGCAAACATTTTGGTTTGTCCACAATCAATCATTCTTCGGTGATTGTGCACAATTTCAGCAATTCTTTTCTTGTTTGGAGAACATCACATGAGATGGCCGGGCCATATATTCTGCAAGTGCCTTGTCTTTTATGTCTTTCCAAATGAGTGATTCCACTACCGTCTTCCCCCGACCCGTCATCATGACTGCATCGTACCGGAAGGGGAGCTTGTGTATGTTCAAAATCAGGGTGCGTTCTGGGGTGGTACCTGGAGGTCCTCATATCAACCCCAGATAAAACCCCCAGCATTGTGCTTTTCAAAATAATAATAATAATAATAAAATGAGTGCGTTGTGTTCGGGGGAAGATGGTAGTGGTCTGACTGCTTTCAAATCCACGTCCATCGTCCATCACAAAAGGGATCCTCTCACCATGATTCTTCTTCCTGTCGGAAACCCGATTTTCCTTACCCTTATTTGTGCCAGAATCCCCCAGAGTTTTCCCCTGCTTGATTTTGACAATACCCCCCTCAATGCCTCATGGCCTGAGAAAGGTTTAAGTTCCGTTTAACACATTCCTACGTGTCGTATTTAGACAGTGTTTTTCTTACAAGGTCCCCTCAGTGCGTTGATGAGTTCCATCCTGTCCTCGTTCGTTTGGAGATGCGTTTTTTGAACTTTTTTCAAGCATTGCGATTTCCATCGGTGTTCCTTGTTGTGTCTGCAGCCTGCATTCACATAGTGTGTATTTGGTTCCGACTATCGTAGTGCAGAGTCTTCTTTATGATTCTCCACTTCTCTGCCCCCATCCGTCCTTGTGTACGCATCATCCTGTTGTGTGTTCTGAGCAGAGGCATGATTTCACGTGAGTATGTGCACGGTATGGGGATGTTGTTGTGCTTAGCAGAGTCATCATTTCACGTGTGTATGTACACATGATCCTCATATATGTGGTGATGTTGTCGTGCTGTTCAAGGACAAAAAAAAATGGAGTTTCATAGTCAGGAATGTGCTTGACATCATGTCACTTAGGGACCTGATGTTTTGAAATTTGAATTACCAATCCAATATGTCGGGGGCCTGTTTTGGTTCTTAATGTTGACCAGATTCGGTGACCGTCTATTTGAGAATTACAGGCCAATCGAACTTCCTGGTGGACAGGTAACTCGATCTTCACTTCTTGCCTCCATCTTCCCTTCCCTCAACGTCTGTGCTGCATTCTGCTGATGCACTCTCTTACGCACAAAACCTTAGGTGGGCTTATAAAGAAGGCCTCTGCCAATCAACTCAGTTATATGGAATTGTCTTTATACAAGACAAAACAAGACAAGAAGGTGCAGCTATTGCTTTCAGCAGCTCTCTCAGGTATGGCCGCTCTCTCCCTCAGCCTCACCTCTCTCCGCCTCACCAAGGTCTCTCTCTCTGAATATCTCTCGAGTCTCGACTCTCTCTCTCCCTCGCAGCGCACTGGACCTGGCTGTGGCTACTCTCGATGGTAGCCCACTACTTCCTTCCACAGTCCATGCTAAAACATAAGCCCCAATATCCCCAAGCAATGCACTTCGCAGGTACCCAAAATTCAGCAGCAGCACTCCCGCATGAACGGACAAGTGAATATGTGTTGGCTGCTTCCCCAGCTGGACTTTTGTACATAACAGTTCGCTCCATACATGTTGGAAAATGCCCCAGGCCTTCAGTTGATCATTTCTCTCCCACTTTCATGCTGCCCGTCCTTTGCTTGAGTGCATTCATCCACCATATTCTGTCCGACGGATCTCCATGCTATGGTAGTCTGCCAGTTTGGCTCATGCCTCATGCTTGTTGGCTGATATCAGTTGTTCACTAGGCTTCCATTGCATTGCTGTCTCCTTTTGTGATCCTGTGGATCGTCTGTTGGTAGTTCTTGGTACCGGCATTCCTTTAGGGCTTCGCCATGGTATACCAACACTAAAAGACTGCACATGCACAAAGACTCCTCATCAAGCGTGCACATCCTTCTCTTGGGCAGGTTACTTCTTAATGTCAGACTCACTGCAGGGAGCAGCATTGCAGGCGTTGATCTTCAGAACGCCCTGCTATGGAGTGGAGTGAACAAATCAATTTGAAAGTCAAATTTTATGTATGCTCTCCTACTTTGAGCCTCTTGCAGCTCAGAAAATTTGATTTCCAAGTTGATTTGTTCCCTCCACTCCATAGCAGGGCGTTCTAAAGATCAACGCCTGCAATGCTGCTCCCTGCAGTGACTCTGACATTAAGAAGTAACCTGCCCAAGAGAAGGATGTGCATTGTGCACGCTTGATGAGGAGTCTTTGTGCATGTGAGGTATTTTACTGTTGGGTTCAACAACCTATAGGGATCGCCTAGATTCTTTTCTGCTAATACTTCAACCATGGGGTGAGACTCTGAAACAGGGAGAGAAGTAATCAACACAACAACTTCGTTGCAGCTCAACTATGATGTGGCTGCCTATACTTTTCGCCTACTCTCTCACTGTGTACACCTCCTACTTCTCTCCCTCGCACACTCTCGCTCACTGTCCACTATCCTCTCGCCCAACAAGGCTGCACGGTTTGATCACCGTGAGTGTGTTCCTTGGCCATGACCAGTTAAGTACCACCATTCGCCACCGTTGTATGTCTCCCTGGTCAGCCAGCCTGGACTCAGCCCCAACCATCTTCCACTCCCAACAGCTAAGGCTGCCGCTGGGCAGAGCAGCTTGTTGTGACTTCTCCCCTCGCCACTTCCTCCTTCCCAGCGCTGGACTGGCCTTTCATGCACTGTGTCACAGCTAGTGCTGCCAGCCAGTCCCCCCGTCCAAATGTGTGGAATGCCACAGCCTCCTTTTTCTGTCTTCGTAGAGGCCATGCGCTGGGCGACTGAGAACCTGCAGGGTCTGGGTCCCGGCCTCTGCAACTAACTCAGAGGCGTGTCGTTTCTGCGTTTGCCCTCTTGTCGTGCAAGCGCGTTTTCTGCCTGGATTCCTTGGTGGGATGGCCATTCTTTTTTCTACCAAGGAAGCCCCACACTCTTACCCTTCTCTCTCTTTGTTGATGCCCAGGTTTACCCTCCTCTCTCGCTTTTCCCCTTGTCAATGTGTTCTCTCAGTCAACTGAGCCTCAACTCTAAATTCTTCTCCTTTTTTTCTCTGGATTTCGTGTGTATGCAATGCTATGCAATGCAATGCATCCTTTCCGACAAGTTTCCGTGAATCTTCCCCGTCATTTCTTTTCTAACTTGCGGTTCCTCCTCTGTGTTATCAAAAAATTCCTTCGTCTAGCTCTCTCTAATGTCTTCCTCCTTGTTTCTTTCTCCACCTCGCCTCTTCCTATGTACCCTACCTCTTACATCTTGTATCCCCCATGTGAGAATGGCATTGTGCAGGCCAGCAGCGTAGCTCGGTTGGTAGAGCCATACAAGTGGCATTCAGGAGGCCGCAGGTTCGATTCCCCATGCCTTCCATTCGACTCCCCACGGCCCCCTGCGGCACACTTCTGGTTCACCAGCTGAGATAGTTTGTTTGTTCCCCCTGCTCGGTCTTGGGGGGGATCTCTTCACCCCCCATTCAGTGCTAGGGGTTAGGTTCAACCCTCAGGGGGTAGGCTCAACCCTCAGGGGATAGCCTCAGATAGGCAGTAGCTCGTAGGGATACATAAGTACGCCCTACTTAGCTCATAGGGATACATAAGTAGGCCCTTCTTAGCTCGTTGGGATAGTAGGTAGTGTGAGGTATATGAGAGAAGAATATAGCGTAGTAACCGTAGTTTCTTTTTTTTTTTTTTTTTCTAAAGGAAATGGCATTGTCCGTTTCTGTCACTGTAGCTTCTCATCATTTCCTTCGATCGATAACGTCCTTTTCTTTTTTCTTTCCCCCCCCCCTATAACGTCCCTTAATTCATTCCAGTCCCAATCAAAACCTATATCCTTCTCTCCTTCTCTGCTTCTCTGAATTTCCCTGGTGGTATCCTTCCTGTCAATCCCCTTTGTCGTTTCGTTTCTTTCGCGTAGTTCCTCCTGGCAAGCACTGGCTGACACTCATACTTCCATGGAGGGACGAATTTCCTGAAAGGGTAAAAATTCCAGAAAGGAAGGAAGGAGGAAGTACCGAGGCAGCCACTGTTTGGAAACAACATACTACGGTCTTCACCTGAATACAATGCCTGGTGACTATGGAAGTATCTGGACTGAAAGTTGCCCCAAATACAGTTATAATGGCCAGGCGTTGTATTTGGGTGAAGACGGTAGTTGACAGGGCAGCCACTCATGTTCTCTTTCCACTGTTTCCAGTAAGAGCAAAAGGTGGAGGGGATGGTTAGGGTTTAGGGTTAAGATGGTTAGGGTTTAGGGTATATATGGAAGGCTGAACACTTGTGGCGTATAGCACATAGGGACATAGGCAAAGATGGAAAATGACCGAAGAGCTAAGAAAGAACTAGCCACGACTTGGGGGAAGCATCCCACTAGCGTGGAGGGGTGTCTGCTCAAGGGGAGAGAAAATGGGAAGAAGAAGGGGGTTGGGTTTCAGACAGGGATTGAACGATACCATTGGTAGCACTTAAAATATGTCAGACATACAAACACAGAACTAAACATAGCAAAATTTGAGGTAATAAAAAACTTTGGACTTGTAAAAATCGCTAGCAAGGGTAAATGAAGAGAGGCTACTAACTCTACAATTCAACACCTTTTCATTAAGAAAAAAAGGACTGGCCCATTAAGGAAAGAACAGAAGAGGATTACCGGAAATACGTGGGGAAATGGGATCAACTCTTCCTCTTTAGAACATATATAAGGACGTTCATCAAGATGGGGGGGTTGCGCGCGCACGCACGAGCGAGTGAGCGAGAGAGAGAGAGAGAGAGAGAGAGAGAGAGAGAGAGAGAGAGAGAGAGAGAGAGAGAGAGAGAGAGAGAGAGAGAGAGAGANAGAGAGAGAGAGAGAGAGAGAGAGAGAGAGAGAGAGAGAGAGAGAGAGAGAGAGAGAGAGAGAGAGAGAGAGAGAGAGGGAGGGAGGGAGGGAAACGTGTATTGTGTTCTCGATTCTTGAGACGTTTTCATGCCACGCTCACATTTATTGCTATCCTAACTTGTTGTGATAATGCATAGGAATAAAAAAAGCATGTTTGAGCAGCAATGTAGAATTATGCCATGGCCAATGTGTTTGTTTGCAGGTGAACATTTACTACAGGGATGCGCTTGACCATTGCCACGGGGCACCATATCCTTGGGTTCCTCTGCTTGGTCCTAGAGATGCTTCTTCTTTCAGTTGGCCGTTATCGTTGAATGCAGTCAATTCCTCAGCCGTTTGGAAGAATGGCTCACTCTTGTGGGGGAATGACTCAGCCTTTCGGGTAGACAATGTACTATTGGCCAGGAATGGGTCGGCCCTTTCGGAAAATACCGCGGTCTTGGGGAATACGACCGCGTTCGCTTCTGCCAATGACTCGAGCAATACCACACTGAATGAAGCTGTGGATGATCTACAGGTGCCGGTGAGCACAAATACGAACTCTACGGGTGATTTGAGTAGGGGAAATGCCAGTCTGGGCAGAGTGGAGCAGCCCACTTCTTCGTCATTGGATCAACAATCGTTTCTGCGGCTTTACCAATCAAAGAAAGAAATACCCCATGCAACTAAACAGCATGATAAAAGCAGATTTAAATTTCTTTGGTCAGCGTTGGGGACGAGATGGGACTGGGGCAAGGGAGGAGCAAGAGACCAAGGAGAGAGCATGGGGCACGAGGAGGAGGAGGAGGAGGAGGCGGCGGCGGCTTCCTTTGGGGAAGAACAGAACAAGTCAGAGACAGGGGGGGGAGGAGAAGCTGATAACCAGCATGCATATGATAAGAAGACACTCATGCATGAAGGCGATTGGCGAAGGAGGCATCTTTTGAGAGCTCGAAAAGGCCTTGATGAGCTTGTACGGCAAGGCTGTACAACGGCTCTCCAGGTCGGAGAGTTCAATGAACATGGTACGTATTATTATGTGTTTTATACATCACCTTGAAGTCCTTAAACCACCAGTACATCATTCGAGCCTGTTTTTGCTGAGGCGGATTCCCCCTGCTCGACAAGCTTTGCCGAAATGCCATGCCATCGTCTCGCTTTTTCTTTCTTTTGGTTGGTGCTGCCAGCCATTTTGGTCCGGTAGCCCCGAGCCTCTGACCTTTCGAAATGAGTCGATTTCCATGATTATGTTTGCCCGGGCCATGTACTGGTGGGTCCAAAAAAAAAAAGAAAGACCCTATGCTTGTTGGGCCGTTCTATTCTGGGGAGCTTCGGTCTTGTTCCTTTATTAGAAAAAGTTAAAAAAACAATAAAAGCTAAAAAAAAAAAAAAGAAAGAGAGCATTATGGTTCTGGCGCAGTTCTATTCTGAGGAGCTGGAGTCCGGTTCGTATGCCAACGGCAGGTCAGTAATAACTGAATAAGTTAATAACAAACATGTCCACCGTGCCACTGTTCGCTCCCTCTCATTACGGCCAGAGGGACTTCCAGGACCATTGATTACTCCCTTTGGGAGAATTTCACTGCTGGACTCCCCCATACATGGAGTTATCTCCCTTCCCTTCTAGGTGACTACTTGTCCCAGAAAAAAAAAGGTACAGAAAAAACAGCTTTGGAGTTTTGACACCTGCCTCTCAGCCCTGGTCTCGGCTGCCCGACGATATGACTTTAGAGTCTTTAGACTGAAAGAGCAGGCCGTAGTGGGTGTTATTTCTTCCTCTTTTCATCCAGTCATCGATCCGCACACTGATATCTACCTAGCTAGCCAAACGTGAGTGAGGGGATTGGTTTCCTCTCAGCCTTGGTTTCGGATCCCTGATACGTCCGTAGACTCAAGGGCGGACCATAGTGGCTCTTCTCCCCCTCTTCATCCACTCTTTGCACTGCAACACTGCTATCTACCTAGTTTGCCTAATGTGACTGAGGTGCTAGGCTCCCCCAAATTAAGTTCATGATTCCTATGGACTCCCATGCTGATCTGTACTGTACGTGTGAGGCGGTTTCCTGTTCGACCAGCTGACCGAGTGTCTCCTACTACTTCTCCCCATGGTTGGGAGACCAGTGATTTTTTTTTTACTAATGCTATACCTCCCCCTTTACTCTGCCTCGTTTCACAGCATGCAATTGGGTCGTTATGGCACTCGGGGATGTGGGCAGCTAGTGCTTAACCACAATCAAAATGTGGTGAGCCGTGTACGTGAGAGGCACCAGTAAAAGGGGAGCTGCAAGAACAAACAAAAGGGGTACCCAAGTGGGCTAGCTCAGTTGGTTGAGCACGTAAGTGACACTCACTCAGGAGGTCGTGGGTTCGATACCCAACGCCGTCCTTTCAATCCCTGCAGCCTCCTAGGGGAAGCTTCGGGTTCACCAGCGCAGATTCTTGGCTTGGGCCTCCTGGCTGGTTGTGGACGTGATTCTTTCCAGCACGCGCCAGGTGTTAGGAGCTTGGCACTGCTCCCCGCACAGAGCAGAGAGATAGGTAGATATAGACCCATAACCTTGGGATAGCTTAGTTCTGGTTAGTTAATTTAAGGTGGCCTTAGACCCTAGCCCTAGATCCTAGCTGTGGACTCTAGTCTTACATCCGGGTTCCCTTGACCTTGATGTGTGAATAGTCTCTTGTACCCCTTGCTTGTCTGGGGTAATAGCTGCTCTTCCTGAATAGAGGTGATCCATTATCTGCCATGGAGGGCTTGCGGGTAGGACATAGATATGGGTAGCTAGTGCGTGAGGTAAAAAGAGAGAAGGTAGGCGCTGGTGACTTGCGGCTGGCGAGGCGCTGGCTTGGGGTGACTAGTAAAGATGCTAGCTGACACGTAGCGCGGTGTTGGCAGCCGACGGGAGGGAGGCGCTGGTGCGAGGGTGCTGTGATGTTGTGAATTAGATGGGGGATAGCGCTTGACGCACGCGCGGTATCCAGAGGCGCTGGGTCATTACTACGTCACAGGTTGACGTGGCATCTGGCCTGAGGCACAGAGGAAAAGGGAGAACGGTAGCAGCAGCTGCTGTTTGAACATTTTCCCTGTGTTTTTCACATGAAGTACTCCATAGCCAAGACCTTTAAAGAGGCTGGAGAGCTCATGCGAGTTGACGAAAGTCGACGTTAGTGGAGGAAAGTGGAGTCAGCCCCGTGGAAGCCAAAGTGCGGAGAACGTTGGTCCTACTTGAAGAATCATCACAGTGCCACTTGGAGAGAATCATCAAGAGAGCGGCTAGGAGGTCGTCATCAACCTATATATGTGCTTTCGTCTGTTTTTTGTCTTGTGCAGGTTATCCATCAAGAGCATCGAGATTTTCCTTCTGTCTTTTCAGCGGGGGGTTTTCATCAAGGACACTGTCATTTCTGTAATCCTCATTTGGTTACCGGTGGTAATCGTCATCGGCTTCTCTAATTCGTCATCCGTGTTATTTATCTTCTTTTTATCTTCTTCATGATTATCATCCGGACTTCTCTGTAAAAATTGTAATCATCGTCATCTTCTATTTTCATTACAGCAATAGTGAGCTGTCAATCTTCCACACCGTTGCCATTAGGGCATCGCAAGTTCGACGTTCCTTNGTAATCATCGTCATCTTCTATTTTCATTACAGCAATAGTGAGCTGTCAATCTTCCACACCGTTGCCATTAGGGCATCGCAAGTTCGACGTTCCTTAATTATTTTTGCCAATTTTAGTTCATCATCATCATCATCATCATCATCATCATCTACCAATCTGAATCTTTATCATCATCATCATCATCATCATCATCATCATCTACCAATCATCATCATCATCATCATCATCATCATCATCATCATCATCATCATCATCTACCAATCATCATCATCATCATCATCATCATCATCATCACGGCTTCTTTATTTATTTTTTCATCAATCAGTAGATATCTCTGCGATAGTGGTTATATTCTCATCTCCCAGATAGGCTATGGTCTAGTTGGTAGGTATGTTGGTCAAGAAGGGAGCGCTACTCCGCAAGGGTAACACAAGGTGGGAGGTGATTGCCCTCCAGGGAGTAGACGCAGATGATGGGAGCTGACCTGGGCTGGGGCTGGGAGATATGTATGGGGGCGCATTATCTCCTGGCGGAGGCAGACTAGGTCAGAGTGTT